TTGGGTTGGGTTGGGTTGAGTTGACCTGGGTTGAGATGGCTGGGTTGGGTTGAGTTGGCTGGGCTATATTGGATTGGGTTGGGTTGAGTTGACCTGGGTTGAGTTGGCTGGGTTGGGTTGAGTTGGCTGGGCTAGATTGGGTTGGGTTGAGTTGACTTGGGTTGAGTTGGCTTGTTTGCAATTACTTTGATCTCTTCTGTTCCTACCATGTTTCTTCTTCTCCTTTTAGGGTAGCAGAACAAATGAGAAATATTGGAGGCAGCGGATTGACATAGTCATACGAGAATATCACAAGTGGAGAACATACTTCAAGAAAAGAGTATGTCTTCTTTTGTTTTTTAATGGCTGACCTTTTGGTATAAATAATTCCCTTTTGCCAGGGAGTTGCCTTCTGAACTCAGCTTGTCAAGGAGCTGAGCAGGCTTAGCAAACTTTGCCCTTTCCTCCAAGGACAGCTGTTTTACGACAATACAAGCTGACCTTCCAACATAGCATCGTTTAACTTTCCCCTTTCTGCTGGGTTGGGACTTCGGATTGAAGAATTCCAAGCTAGAGGCCAAAATAATCACGTTGATTCACTTGTCAAACAAACAGGACAGGCTCAGTCAAGCAGCAGATAATGGAGTAATATTTCGGGAGGAGGGGGTCTTCAGGGCACCAGAATGGCTGGTCCTGTTTCGTATCTTGTCTGCATAAATTTGGGGTATCGGCTGTGACTTATAGCCCTGTGCTAAATCAATTTGTATTCCATAAAATGGGTGTTTCAAATTCTGTTCCAAGTTGGAGAATTATCCTCCCTCCCTCCCCTTCCTTCCTTCCTTCTTTTCCCCTTCCTCCTCCTTCCTTCCTCCTCCTTCCTGTTTTGGTTTCACTTTCAATTATTTCCATTTCCTTCCTCTTTTTTTTTCCAGTTACAAAAGCACAAAGATGAAGACCTTTCCAGTTTGGTCCAGGTAAACATTATTTTGGCTATCGCCTTTCCAACGAGCGGATGACTGAAAGAAAGCTCAGATTATATCTTTTAATTGATTGAATAGAGGATCTGCTCCTCCTGAACACTCAGATAGAGCACTCTGGAAGCTGGAGGTTCGATAGGAGAGTAGAACAGGGGGAAGGGGGGAGTGGGAAGTCTACCGTAATGAGCAAAATAATCCAATAAACCTCTTTGTTGTTAAGGAAAGGATAAGCATAAAATTACAACAGGGTTTGAGCGAATGCCATCCCGAAAATACATCAGCTTAGAGTTGAGAAGGGATAGTCACAACAACAGAAAAAGAAAGGAAGAGATGAGAAGAGAGGAAAGAGGAGGGAAGGAAGAAAGAGGAAAGGAGAGGAAGGAGGGAAGGGATAGACAAAGAAGGAGTGAGGGTAGGAGGGGGAAGAGGAGGAGGGGAGAGGGAAGGGAAGAAGGGAAGGAAAGGGAAAGGAGGAAAGGAGAGAAGGGAGAGAGGGTGAAGAGAAAAGAAAAAAATAGGGTGGTGATAATACAAAATAGGTGTATGGGATGGCAAGCAAAGCTACACAGAATGTATATTTTAACCTTTTATGTGGAAAAACAAATATATAAACTGTCAGCGTTCCAAATACCATGCAGAATTAAATCAGAGTCGAAGGCAAAACTATGCTTAAAGTNCCCGGCTGCTATCGACAACGCCCAGGCGAACTTTTAACGTCCTCGACGTTTTCTCCATTGGACCAATGATGTTCCGATCGGCGTTTCCACCTCTGCCTCGCGATTGGTTGAGACCGACTGCCAATCTTGTTTCATCAGAGGGCTTGGTTCACGTGGCCGCCGGGTCAGGCTAAAGCGCGGGGCGGGGCTGCTTCAGGTTAGTATTGTCATCCTCACCTCGTGTCGGCCCCGCCCAAATCTTGGCTCCTGTGCTCCGAGGCAGCGTTGTTACCTGACAGGAGGCGACATGGCTCCGCGCAGGAACCCTAAAAGCGGCAGTCCCGGCCCCGGAGCCCGGAGAGGTCAGTAACAGCCGGTTCGCTGGGCCTCAATAGCAGCTGAATGGGACGTGGGGGGTTGGGATTGGATATGGAGATTGGGGGGGCGTAGACCAGCATCCCCCATCTTTCTGCTGCTGGAGACGTGATGGTTTTGCAGACCCGAAGCTATTTGTGGGTTCCCCATAGCGCCCCTTCAAAGAGCCGCAGGGTTTTCTTTTGCTGGCGCCACGATTTCGAAATTGGCGCTTTTTATCCTCCTCTCACCCCAGTCGGCTGAGTTTGCTCCTCTGCTCAAAGGGAAAACGAAGTGGGACAGGACCACCTATACTTATAGAAGGAAAGTGGAAAGTAGAATGGGCTCTAGGATTTCATTTCCTGCAGTGCTTTAAGCTACAGGTTTTGAAAGAGCGCCTTACCCTTTTTCTTTGACCTCCTCCTCCCTAAATGCACACAAAAGAGAGACAACACTAAGGGAGGAGCTTCGCCTCGTTTCTTCCTCCACCATGCACTCGGGTCACACCTGTTTGGGGAGGTTTTCAAGCGAAGCTTGTGCAATGATGAGTTTATCTGGCGGCCAAATCTTTTAAATGCACACAAGGGGGATTTATTTTCAAACGGATTTATGTAGATTTCTGTTGCAAGACTACCGTGGTATTCACATTTAAAGATTAAAAACATGCTATGGCAGTTCTGCTGGATGATCTTGTCTGGGTTTGGAAACCAAGCTGGGCTGGACCGGATTAGTATTTTCATGAGAAACAAAAAAAGAATTCTGGGGTTGTAAGAAGAAAAGAGGGAGGTTGAAAAATATTCCCAAAGATGTAGGGATAACCTGCTTCTTTATTGTTTGCAAGAAAACCACACATTTTCATCAGGAGTTAAGCTTGTGTTGGTTATCTTACCTTTTAATGTTTCCTGGAAGGGCTGTTTTTACATGTTTGATGGAAGTTAGTGAATATTAAGTACTCTGGTCATTCTCTTTCCCATCATACTTTTTTTTACTGAGTCATCTTTAAACCATAGTATTTTATTCAAATTGTAGCTGAGGCCAACAGAGCTTTAAATGACGTATTTTTGCCCTTCAAAAGAATATTCTGTGCTTAAGATAAAAATACTGGGTTGCTTCCGTTGTATTATTAAAATATAGTTCAGTTGTATTATTAAAATATAGTTCAGTTGTATTATTAAAATATAGTT